AATAGATACGAGAGAGCGTGATCCACCACCGCTTTACTCTGGAAAATTGCAAACCTTTTCCTCCGGAGCCCGGGGTCGCCCCCCCCCCCCCCTCCGAAAATCCCCCACCCACCCTCTGCTGGACCCCCCCCCCTCCCCGGCAAAACCCCCCCTCCCCTAACCCCTCCCCCCCCCCCCCCCTCCCCCTCGAAAACCGACGGGGGGTCACTACCAGTTCGAACCCCTCTCCCCCCCCCTCTCCAGATCCGGAAGACCGTTCGAACCCCCCCCCCCCCTCGAAAACCCGAGGGGGTCACTACCGGTTCGACCCCCCCCCCCCACGCACCGCCAGCAAACGACTCCCGGTCCCTACCACCGTCCGCATCACATCCCCCACTGTTGTTCCCAGCACCACTGTCCTCACCACCACTGTCCCCACTGGTTCCACCACCGTCCCTACTGTCCCCACCAGTGCCCCCACCACTGTCGCACTGTCCCCACTGTCCCACCACTGTTCCCACCACGGTTCCACTCTCCCCACTGTCTCCACGGCCCCAACCACTGCCCGACTATCCCCACTGTCCCCACTGTCCCACTGACTCCTCCGCTGTCCCACTGAGCTGTCCCACTGTTCCCACCACTGTCCCCACTGTCCCCACCACTGTCCCCACTGTACCTCTGTCCCATTGTCCCACCGCCGTCCTCGCCACCGCCTTCACCACTGTCCCCACCACCATTGTACCCTCCACTGTCCCACTGTTTCCACCTCATTCCCACTGTCCCCACACCACTGTCCCCACCACCACCGTCCCCACCACTGTCCACTGTCCCCCCTGTTCCCACCATTGTCCCCACCACTGTCCCCACCACTACCGTCCCCACCACTGTCCCACTGTCCCACTGTCCCCACCAGTGAGTGTCCCGCTGTCCCCTCACCACTGTCCCCACCAACACCGTCCCCACCACTGTCCGCACCCCCACTCGGTTTTCGAGGGGGGGGGGTTCGAACCGGCAGTGACCCCCCCCGGTTTTCGGAAGGGGGGGGGTTCGAACCGGTAGTGACCCCCTCCCCTTTTCATGATGAGCTGGGGGGGGAGGAGGGGTTCGAACCGGTAGTGACCCCCCCCGGTTTTCCGCCAGCAGCGGTAGAACACGCTCTTTCATATATACAAATCCCAGGATCCCCACATGTTCCTACACTTTCTGGGTCTCGTCTCCTGCCCCACCTCCCCTCTTCTCCTGGGAGATGACGATTCGTGGTGCCTGCCTGTGAGTTTTTCCCCTCCCGACACGGGCGCGGCAGGTCGACGTGGCAGAACCCTTTCTACCGCAACGCTGGCCTCCTTGGGGTGCCAGCCGCGCCGGGTCGCCGCGCTTTCTGGTGGGCGACATATCCTCCAAGCGCCTCCACGCCCCCAGACCAATCCTCCTCCTCCTCCTCCTCTTTCCTCCTCCTCCTCTTTCCTCCTCCTCTTTCCTCCTGCTCCTGCTCCTGCTCCTGCTCCTGCTCCTCCTCCTCCTCCTCCTCCTCCTCCTCCTCCTCTTTCCTCCTCCTCCTCCTCCTCCTCCTCCTCCTCCTCCTCCTCCTCCTCCTCCCCCTCGAGCCTGGAACGAGCCTCGACTTCCCTGGGGCGGCCCGACGCGCCGCGCGCCGCCGCCTTCTTGTGGGTGACGTCCTCCCAGAGCCTCCACGCCATGTCGAGCTGGTGGGTCTGACCGTACGCCTCCGGAGGCGCGCGCGGAGGCGGCAGGGGCCCCGGGCAGCCGACGTCGTGGAAGAGCGCGCGCGCAGGAGAAACGGGGCGGCGTCGAGTCGTTGAAGAATCCACTCGTCGCAAAAAAAACTATAATCACACGACGAGAGAGTTGCTTGAGCCATCCTCGGCCCCCGGGGGCCCTCAAGCGCGCCCCGAGCCAGCCAGAAGAACCACCCTGGGATGGAAAATCCGGACCCTGCAAAAAGGGGGGTCCACATTGCAAAACAAAAACAAACGCGAGGCCAAGAGTCCTGGACATGAACAATCTCGGGCCACCCTGTACGATCACGTGATGTTCGGAGTAAGATCGGTCCGTGAGGGTTTCGGGCCCAGAGAAAAAAAACTCCCGTCGTACCTTTTGTTCGGCCCGTCGGGGCACACTTCGAACGACGCCATAATGTAAGGGCACCTCGCCGAGCCCCCACCTCCAGTCCCAGGCCTCCATGCAACCACTCCTGATGATCGACGGTGACGGTGCCCGCAAGTGTCCACGCGAGGGGACTTGGCGGGGCGGTGCCGGAGCGCCCGGGGGGGGACAAAAAAAAAAAAAAAAAAAAAAATCGCAGGCCCAACGGGCCCGAGGCGTGCTAAGATCTCCGGTAACTGGTTAGCAATATTTCTAGTTCGCGCGCGCGGGGCGGCCCCTGGGGGTCCCCCGGCGAAAAGTATCCCGACCGCAGCCCGACCAAGTCTACCCAGGGATGGTTTTGAGGGCCTTTTTTCGACACCCCTCACGAGGATCGTGGCCTCCGAGGGGGGTGCACTCGACTTCCCCGCCCCACCCCAAGAGGCCCCCAAGAGTTCCCCAAGAGGCCCAAGGGGGCCCCAAGACGCCGCCAAGGAGCCCCAAGAGACCCCCAAGAGGCCCCCAAGAGGCCCCTAGGAGGCCGCAAAGAGGCCCCCAAGAGGCTTCAAAGAGGCCCCATAGAGCGCTCGAGGGCCGGCGGAATGAGCGAAGCGATTAAATAATCTGAAGCGGCAGGCAAGGGCATCGCGGCTAGCAGGTTCAACCCCCGATGATCGAACACACTTTCATCACATGGAGGCTCGACCTCTATCATGTCCGCTGTTCGCAGGCACGAATCTGCCACCGCGCGCGCACGGAGTGGGCGTGTCAGAATGCTTGTTGTTGCCTGGGAGGTTTCTTGAGTTTTCTAGGGCCGACCACCCTCCCCTGCCCGCACGCGTGCTTCGAAGATCGTCCCCTCTGAAATTGCTGCCCGGCGGTCATTTCGGCCCAACCGGCCAATGCGACCTCCAGGACGGCTTCTTAGACAGCCAAGACGGCACCAAAACGGCTCAAGATGGCTCAAGAGGCTCCCCAAACGGCATCAAGATAGCCCAACAGGCTCTCAAGACGGCCCAAGAGGGCTCCAAGAGGCCCTTCAAGGGGGCTCGGGGCGCAAATCGACCGAGAGATGCCGACTCCCCGGTCTGCGTTGGTGGCCACGTGCCTCGAGGGCCCACCACCAGGGCCGGGAAAAGGAAGGCGGAGCGGACCGAGGAGCGGGGCTACACTCAGTCGCTGTTCGTCTCGGGCGCCGCTGCGCTGGAGCATACATCGCAACATAAAGACGGCAAGTGGCAGAGGAAGCAACCGAGTACTCGCCATGAATGCCTACTCCTCCCCGTCCTCCTCATCGTCAACGTCAACGTCATCGTCATCACCATCACCATCCCCATCCCCATCCCCATCACCATCATCATTATCAGCAGCAGCATCTTCATCACCACCACCACCATCATCATCAGCATCAACATAAACATCATCATCAGCAGCAGCAGCAGCAGCACCATCATCATCATCATCATCATCATCATCATCATCATCATCATCATCATCATCATCATCATCATCGTCGTCATCATCATCATCAGCAGCAGCAGCAGCATCATCATCACCACCATCATCATCGTCATCATATCATCATCAGCATCAGCATCAGCATCATCATCATAATCAGCATCAGCATCAGCATCAGCATCACCATCATCATCATCATCATCATCAATATCATCAATATCATCATCATCATCATCATCATCATCAGCATCATCATCATCAGCATCAGCATCAGCATCAGCATCAGCATCAGCATCATCATCATCATCATCATCAGCATCAGCATCATCATCAGTCATCAGCATCATCATCATCATCATCAGCATCATCATCATCATCATCATCATCATCATCATCATCATCATCATCATCATCATCATCATCATCATCATCATCATCATTATCCAGTCTTTCCCCTCCCTACGTCGCAGGAACAGCAACTGATGGCAGAAAGAAACTGCCTCCAATACACGCGAAGCAACTGAGACATGCCGACTCCATGGTCCATAGAGCCGGAATGGAACAAGGAGCGGGGCTAAACTCAGCCGCTGTTCGTCTCTTCCTCCTCCTCCTACTCCGCCACTTGCTCCCGCTCTTCCCTCCCTCCCTCGCTCCGTCCCCGTTAAGACCAGGATGAACTCCAGCCCGTTCCAGATGCTACCAGCACATTGCAATTGCCATGTTGGCCTCAATTTTGCGAATTTGAAATCCAGTTTAGACGTTCTCCTCAGTTTCAAACGTTTTGGGAACTTTGGGACCTCTGGGGCTCCGAAGGAGCATGGTGTACGAGCTGCCTGGAGGCTGGGTGCTGCAGTGGCCCTTCGAAGCGAGCATCCCTGGAGGATTCAGAGCCGCCGAAGAAGGAGAGTTGACACCTGATCTGGACGTTTCCCCATCCATGTTGGACACGTCTCCGTAGTGTGCTGATGATTCCCACCCCTCCCAGGAGGCGTGTCCTCGTTGTCGCACCTCTCACGCGGAATGTGGCCCTTCATTCCGCCTGCGTCGACAGAGGGCGCGCCCGCATGGGGTCCCGCCCTCATTTCGACACAACCCTCACGCGGATCGCGCCGTACAAGGAGTTCATCGCGCCTCTGTGCGCTTGCGCCGCAGCCCCCTACCCACACTGCCCCGCAGAGCGCAGTACATGAAGATGGGGCCGCGCTCTGCGCTAAACACAGCTGTACAGGGTCGGGCCCTTGGCCAAGCCAATGTGAGGCTCTACATGTTTTCGGACGTGTGGGAGCCTTTGAGCAATCAACGTGAACATCCAGTCTCGACCGCCTGACGCAGGGCGATGCGTGCGAACCATGACGATACCCCTATCCTAAATCTACCCCTATCGTCCTCTCCCTCGTCCGCATAACCAGCGACCCACATCAGGCCGTGGACTTCGTATGAGGGCTCTGCGACAGCTTGGCCTTGATCAAAGTGGCGTAGGTGTGCATGGCACACTGTTTCGGCATCACCCATCCGCTCCTCATGGGAATGGGGATGCAGAGATGAGTGAACAGAGGGCACAAACGAAGACAGAGAGATACAGAGAGAGAGAGATATGTTGTAGTAAGCTAACTATATCAGCCCCCGTGTCCTGAGATACGAGATGAAGTGTCCTCAGGTCCTTCGAGTCCTCCGTCCTCAGTCCTGAGAATTCTTTACTAGAAGCACCGAACTGGAACCACCGAGCGCGATCAATATCTACCTGTCTCGGAATCTAAGTGGGTCGATGGGGCCGTGCCCGAATGAGAAGGAGCTGCGGATTTGGAAGCCAGCGCGTTCGTCACCGAAGGCGCATATGGGTGCTCGGGTTGGGGCGAAGAATGCACAACTACATACAAACAGACATGCGTGTAAGCATTGGTTGGCCACCCCCTGCTACTGTCCCCCCGCTCCCAAGAGAGCCCCTGGACGGCCCTGAAGGGCCGCCTTGGAGCTCTTTTCGGGGGGCGGGGATGATCTCGGAGAGGTGATGGGGCCCCCCGGGGATGTCTTGGTGGCCTCTGGGGGCTTCCGTCGGCATCTGGGAGCCTCCTGGGGCAGGGGTCCTGCAGTTGGGGGCCGTCTTCGGGGCACGTCGGGCATCTCGCGGGCCGTCTTGAGGGAGCGGGCCTCTGGCGACCCCCCCTTGGGCCCCGTCTCGAGCCTCTTGAAGCATCGCGGGGGTCTGCTGGGCCGTTAGGGGGGCCTCTTCTGCCGTCCTGGGGCGGTCTTGGAGGCCAATGGGGGGGCGGGGAAAACGAGGAGGACGGAAAGAAAGCAGCTGCTTGCAGAGAAGGAGTGGGCAGAACGACCGCAGAGGGAAGGCGAGCACGCAAGAGACGCACGGAGGAGGAGGAGGTCCAGTGCAAACCCAAAACGCATCAACGATGTTGCAATACACCCTCCCTCCAAGTTCCCTCTTCACAGGTCCCTACAATGTTTGTCTCATGCCAGGAACTGGCCAACTGGCCCATTGAAAATCAACGGGCCGAAGAACTCAAACAAAAAAAAAGATTCCACTCTCCCAGACTCCAAAAATGGAGTTGCCTCGCCAGGACCATAATGAAACAATACCACACGTTTCCTCTTCCACCCCCCCTTGCTCCGCTTCGGGAAGGGATTTATCACTGCTTCCTGTTAATCAACACCCCCTCCACCACACACGACCAGCAGCCAGACAGAACACATGGCAACATCCCCCCACCATCCCTGTCAACAACAACTATACAACATCTCAACACTTTGCCTCCGAATCTGCAGCATGCGCGGGCGCCCCGCGACCTCTGGCATGGATGTTTGCCAGGGATGGCGGGGGGGAGGGCTCATATTGCTTGCTGCGCGCAGGCCAACTATCCTTGTCGAACACAATACCAAATACACTGCTCCTCCAAATCTGGAGCATGCGTGGGCGCCCCGCGACCACATTGCATCTGGTTTTGCCAAGGACGGCGGGGGGGGGCCTCATACTGCTTGCTGCGCGCAGGCCAACTGATTCCTGCGCGCAAGCCAACCATCCGTCAAACAACAATACGACATACACGTTGCCTCCAACTCTGGAGCATGCGCGAGCGCCCCGCGACCACTTTGCATGGTTTTTGACAGGGATGCCCGGGTGCTACTCATCCGCTGGGAGGGCGGGTGGGAATGAGCGAGACGACTTGCGCCTTGTGGGCAGGAGGTGCGTTGACCCCCCTCCCCCTGCCCCCTCCCCTGGACCTGGACGGGGGGGGTCGCGACCCACTGGAGCATCCAAAATGGCCTCGGCGAGAAAACACAGATCATGATTGTTTGCTAGGTTTTGGGCCAATGTTGGCCTGCTGGTGGGGGACCCTAATATAGCACCCCCCTTTCATTGGTCGATCTCTCCCAAGATGGCTCCCAAGAGTGCCCCAAGAGGCGCCCAGGAGGTCCCCAAGAGGCTCCCAAGAGATCCCCAAGAGGCCACAAGAGGCTCCCCCGAGGCACCCGAGACACCCTGTGAGGCTCCCCGGACCCTCCAAGAGGACTCCAAAAAGCTTTCAAAAGACATCACTAATGACTCGGAGAGGCATCCAAGAGGCCTCTGGCCATTCTGCTAGCCATCCTCCTCCTCCTCCTCCTCCCCCTCCTCCTCCTCCTCCTCCGCCTCCTCCTCCTCCTCCTCCTCCTTCCTCCCCTCCTTCCCCTCCTCCTCCTCCTTCTCTCCTCCTCCTCCTCCTCCGCTTCCTCTTCCTCGTCCTCTTCCTCTTCTTGCTCCTCCTCCTCCTGCTCCTCCTCCTCCTCCTCCTCCTCCTCCGCCTCCTCCTCCTCCTCCTCCTCCTCCTCCCCCTCTCCCCTCCTCCTCTCCTCCTCCTCCTCCTCCTCCTCCTCCTCCTCCTCCTCCTCCTCCTCCTCCTCCTCCTCTCCTCCTCCTTCTCCTCCCTCTTTCCCCTCCTCCTCCTCCTCCTCCTCCTTCTCCTCCTCCTCCGTCTCCTCCCTCTCTTTCTCCTCCTATTCCTGCTTCATCCTCCCCCTCTTGGGGTATGACGGTTTCCCCAGCCGTTTGTTCCACTGCATGTCCCTCCACATCCCTGATCAGGGCAGCTCGCATGGACATCGCTTCTGGATGGACTGGTGGGGTTATTTTTTCGTTCGCGAGTACAAGCGGTATGGCCGCGCGCCGTCGCAAGGGTCAAACAGGCCTAAAGCAGCAGGCTGAAGACAGAAGCTGCGGGCACACGGTACGCTCAGAGGCGAAGAACAACTGGTGGGGTTACGCGAAGCGCCTAGAATCTGGGCACTCCTCAATTCCAAATCGATGTGGAAATCACAGATCGTGCCAACACACAAGTCCTGGGGCTTTCACGCCGCGACTCAACGTGAGTGCTGCGTCCTCACACCCCTGAATCGTGCCAGAACATCATTCCAGGGAAGTCAGCATCGCGAATCCACATGACTGACTGCTGCGTCCTGATAATCCTAAAAGGTGCTAGAATACCGTTCCTGGGACTTCAATCCTACCGATCCTTCCAACTGCTGCAAATATTTAAAACGAATGCGCGCGGCGCTGAAGCGGGAACTACATTCTGAAAAAGAACTGACCTTCATCCATATAGCGGCTAAAAAATCTTTAGACGAGTGTGCACGGCGCTGAGGCGAGAGCTCAATGTTGAAAACGACCCGCCCTATATCATTGAAACTGGTGCAAACTGTGAACACGAATGCGCGCGGCGCTCTGGCGAGAGCTCCATTTTCAAAACGGCCCGCCCTCCCATCCTTGAAGCTGCTGCACATTCCAAGCTTCAGGATCAGAAGTGGTGAGGACGTCTCAGGCGAAACGCCTGGCCCGGCCTACAGACACGTCTGGGGGTGCGACAGGGAGGAGTTATCTATAAAGGGGTGGTGGAGGAGGCGGAGGAGGAGGAGAACAAGCAGGGGCCTCACGCTGCAATCGGCCAGAGAGCTCTCCGAGACACGGGGGCCAATTAGCGACCTTATGGAGTATCCTGGAATGCCTCGAGGGAGCCTCTCGGAAACAATTTTTGGGCTCCAGGTGTCTTTTATGGAAGCCATTGGAAGCCTCTTGGGGACCACTTGGCGGCCTCTGGGGGCCTCTTGGGGGCTTCCAGGTGGCAGAGTGGGGCTCTTGGGGGCCTCTCTGGAGCTCTCTTGGGGCGGCCTGGGCCCTCCTGGGGAGCCTCCCGGTGTGCAGGAGCCCCCCGGGGGTGTCTTGGGCCACCTTGGGCGCCCCCTCGGGCGAATCTGGCGCCGCATCGGGCCCCTCTTAGGGGCCTCTTGGACCGTCTTGGGGTGGCCTCGGGGGCCGACTTCACTTCGGCCATCTTGGAGGCTGTTCAGAGCGAAGCTGCTGGAAATCTACGATCGTCTTGGTTAGGGAATGTGGCGATGTTTGCCTCTTTGGGCCCCTTGTCCTGAAGCCACCTTGAGCTGGCTGCACCTGTTTGAAAGCCACCTGGAGCCATCTGGAAGCCTTCTTCGCTCGGTCTGGACTCCGCTGGAGCTTGTCTGAAAGCTCCGGGGCGCCCGGGGGGAGAACTTAGTGTCCAGTAGGGGCTCGACCACAAGAAACCTTCCACAAGAAACCCAACTCGGAGACACCAGGACGTCCATGGCTTTTTTTATGAGGGAGCGACACGCTTTCCATCGCAAAGCCATCGAGAAACCCAAGAAACCCAGGGCACCCTGGAGGCAAGCAGGGCGTTTCTTGGCATGGGCCTCCACTGCACCCAGGGTGTTCATGGTGCGCTGCAGCCCCGGGGCCTGCGCGGCCAGGCTTCCGGTCCTCCTCCTCCTCCTCCTCCTCCTCCTCCTCCTCCTCCTCCTACACTTTCTCCTCCTCCTCCTCCTCTTCTTCCATCTCCTCCTCCTCCTCTTCCTCCTTCTCCTTTTACGTTAGACCGACATTAGGAGCGAGCCTGTTGCGTTTGTCCTCCTACTCCTCCTCCTGATCCTCCTCTCCTCCTCCTCCTCTTCCTCCTCCTCCTCCTCGTCCTGCTCCTCCTCCTCCTCCTCCTCCTCCCCTCCTCCTCCTCCTCCCTCCCCCTCCTCCCATTCCCATTCCCATCCCCTCCTCCTCCTCCTCCTCCTCCTCCTTTCTCCTACCTCCTCCTCCTCCCCTCCTCCTCCTCCCTCCCTACCTCCCTCCTTTCCCCTCCTCCTCCCTCCCTCCCTCCCTCCTCCTCCTCCCCTCCCTCCCTCCCTCCCTCTCCTCCTCCTCCTCCTCCTCCTCCTCCTCCTCCTCCTCCTCCTCCTCCTCCTCCTCCTCCTCCTTGTGGGAGAAGAGGGGCCTGGAGCCTCTCCTGAGTGCTGGGCGCCGCTTCTGGGGCCCCGTGGCGCGCCGTGTGTTCGGAGCCAAGAGACAACCCCAGGACGGCCCGAGAGGGCCCCTGAGAGGGCCCAAGCCCAGAGATCCGACGCTCCCAAAAAATTAGAGCGGCGGGATTTTGGCAGTTTTCGGCCTCCAGAGGCTTTCGCTGAGCCCCAGGAGCGTCAAAAAAGCGACTCGGGACGAAAAGCTGGCCCTAGGGAAGTTGTCTGGACCTCCGGGGCCCACGCATAGGATAAAAACGGGGCAGCCGGATGTCCGGGAAGAGCGCCCGAAGATCGCTGCAAAACGCCAAGGATGGCCTCCAGACGGTACAAGAGGCTCGCAAAGACGCCCCAGGAGGGCTTCCAGGGGGCCCCTGAGAGGGTTCCGAGAGGACCAAATCATGGATTACCTCCAGGTGCTTCGAGCATTCCAGCGTTCTCGCCTGTTCGGGCTTTCGACGCTCCAAGAGTTCCCGCGCAAGATCGTGCCAAGACCCAAGAAGCCCCCCAGAAGCTCCAGGAGGCCCTCAAGAGGCCCAAATCAGGCCCCTAGAGGTCCCCGAGAGGCCACTAAGACACCCCCAAACCGCACCCGAAAGGCCTCCGAAGGGCCTCCCGATACCCCCAGACATCCAGCTGCTCACTGCTCAAATTTGTTCGATGCGCGTTCCCAGGAGGTCCAGACCACTTCCATAGGGCCGTTTTTTCGTCCTGAATATTTTTGTTACGCTCTCGAGGCCCGGCGAGGGCATCTGGAGGCCGAAAACTGCCAACATCCCGCCGCTCCAATTTTTGTTGGAGCGTCGGACCTCTGGGTTCAGGTGTCCAAGAGGCCCCTAACTCACAACACAGGCAAAGTGGCGGGATGGGCACAAAGCCACCAAATACCGACATACCGCTGCTCCGCGGACCTCGCCGGAGCGCGCTCTGTCCAGAGCGTCGAAGCGACCCCAGCGGTGTCTGCGAGGGAAGGGCATCGGTGTCCTCCTCCTCTGGGAGCCCCCCTCCTGGCCCGCCCCCCCTCATCCCGGATGCCGCCCTCGGCTCTTCCTCCCCCTCCCCCTCCCCCTCCTCCTCCTCCTCCTCCTCCTCCTCCTCCTCCTCCTGCTCCTCCGCCTGGCTCCTCCTCCTCCTCCTCCTCCACCTCCTCCTCCTCCTCCTGGCCCGTCCCCCCCCCATCCTGGGTGCCGCCCTCGGCTCCTGCGGAACGTGGCGAGGGCCATGTGGAGGCGGTCGGGGTCCTTGAGGCCCACGCAGGC